TGCTTTTCTGAACGGTCTCCTCTAGGCGGGGGCTCCTTCCCCTGGACGCGGGCGGGGCGGGGCGGGGGCAGCGGCCCTGTGGGCAGAGCAGGAGGTCGAGCGCCTACCAGGTTGCCGCCGTTGCTTTGCTCGGCCTCCTTCCTGCTCTGGCAGTAACCGGAAAGCTTGTCTCGCAGCACCTGCCAGAAACAGAGGAGAAGCGCTGGCAGAGCAAGCAGAGCATCTGGGAGGGCACCTGGTGGCCCTGAAGGAGCCACGGGGTGTCTTTCAACCTGCTGCCAGAAGCCCATCCGGGATCTGCTGGGAGCGGGTCCTCACCCCTCTCCTCAGGGTGGGAGCCACTGGCACCAGGGCGGAATGTGGCCAGCACAAGACAGCGCCGTGGGCACCTCCCTTTTGCATCCGCTGCCAGGCCTGCCCTGCTGCTGTGAGGGAATTACCTTGTCCGGTGGCACCGCCAGCTGCGTTGGGGAGGAGGGAAGAGTGTCCAGGCGTAGGCTGTAGCGAGGCAGGGGTGCCTTGACCCCAGGCCCCTTCTGCCCCTGCCAAGGCCATCCAAGAAGGCCCCCTGCCTCCTGCATGCCACTTACCTCATACAGGTAATCAAAGATCTCCAGGATGGTGAGGAGGCTGGCTCCAATGAACAGGCCCATCTGGCCTCCAATGTCCCCTGGAAATCCAAAGTGGGACCATCAGAACTTCAGTCCCCTTTCCTGGCACCTGTCAGACTGCCTACCTACTGCTGGCGGGCAGCAGTAAGAGCTCTGGCCCTGGCCCCTCCAGTCTCAGGCACAGCACTCCTTTTTCCTTGCTCAGGGCAGCAACTCCCCACGGCCCAGCGAACGGCCCTGTTGGCTCTCTGCAGCTTTCCTTCACAGGCCAGCCCCCGGTGGATTGCACTACAACTTCCAGCGTGCCCAGCTAGCAGGACCAACGGCAGGGTTGACCTGGGGCAGGAAGGGCACCAGCTTGGGAACGGCTATTTTTCCAGCCTGCAGGACCAGGATGGGCGCAATGGATGCGGAGCCGAGAGCAGCAGCGACAGAAGAGCTTCTGTGTCCCACGTGGTCCAAGCCCCCACTTGGCTGTTTTCCCAACAGGGGCCTCTGGCACAAAATAATATCCTCATCCTGCCCCAAGGCGCTGGGTTTGGAGAGATCTAGTAAATCCTTTCCACGTGCCTGGCCGACAACGCTCTTCCCCTCCTCTCTGCGCCTCATGTTACAGAAAAGCTGGAGCCCAGGCCCCTATTTCCCAAGGCTGTGCTTCCCAATGGCTAACAGAGCTCTAGGGGAGCTATTTTGGGGGGAGTTTTGCTGGATGAAATTAGCCCCACCCCGGGACCCTTGGCAGTGGTTCTCTGGGATGCTGGCCGCGGGCCGAGTCTCACGTCTCTCCGCCACCTGCTTTGGCCACCCTTGGAAAGCTGGAGTCCCGTACTGTTGTACCCCACAGGCTTTTGCTGCTACTGCTGAATGAAGGTGGTCTCTGTCTCTACCTGTCCTTGATGGTGATGATGCCATTCTTAATTTAGCTACTCTGAGAAACTGACGGTGCAAGGAAGCAGGCTTCCCATTTCTGTACTCTGGCGGAGATGGGCCAGGGCCAGCAGGGTGCTGTGCCCGAAAGCCTTGGAGCCAAGCCTCCGGGCAGGGCTCTTCCGCCTGCAGGGCTATGTAGGAGCACCCACCCCTGGAGGAAAGTGCGGCGGAG